AGTTACATGGAACAGAATAGCCCCAATATTTTTGGAATCAATGAAGTGTGAGCACTCTAATCTCAGTTCTTTGCTCTTTTCAGTTAAATATTGTAAATTATATGATATTAAATATTCACTTTTACATTCCTGCTCTTCGAATACTTGCCATATAAATATAATATTGTTTTTGTCTCTCTTACCTCTATGGATCTTGGCTGGAGATCAGGGAAACTCTGGCGGAAAATTACAATTTTCAACTTTCAAGTAATGTTATTTGCATGTTTTTGCCAGTGAGGTGGAATTAACTGTTTAATGTCAAAGGAGCAAATTCTACAGGATCAGCAGCTGAGGATGTATGAGGGACACCACAAAAGTAATGCCTCCTATTTATTTTGTGAAGAATAGTAAGTTGGACAGTAATGAAACACATGCACAAGATACTTTTATATATCCCATTTCTACTGTGAAAGTTTTGTTTACTTCTAACTAGATGGAGGTACATGACAGCCGTTTAAAATGATGCCTAGCATTTATACATGTGTTAAGCAGAGGGCAGTAATTCAATTTCTCACAGCTCAAGGGATTTTGCCAATTGCTCTTCTCCATTGCATGAATAAAATGTATGGATACTTATGTGTTGATGTGAGTACTGTAAGACACTGGGTAAATTGCGTGAAAAACGGAGAAACTGAACTTAAAGATAGGTCTCACAGTTGTTAATGAAGAGAATCTGCAAAGTTGATGAACTGATCCTCAAAGACTGACACAACACTCAACAAAACTTGCACTTATATAGTGCCTTCCACACAGGGTAGCGTCTCAGAGTGCTTAACAGTGGCAGAGCCTGATTCCGAGCTCAGCGGAGTGGGGAGGTGGCCGTAAGCACGGTCGAAGAGGAAACTTTTCAGGCTGGACTTGAAAGAGGGGAGGGGGCAAGGTGGTGGGACTGAGGGAGAGTTTTCCAGAGTTTTGGGGCATAGTGGCTGAAAGCACGACCTCCGATGGTGGGACGGAGGGTCCAAGGGACGAGCAGGAGGCCAGTGCCAATCGAGCGGAGGTGCCGGGTAGTGGATTGGGGAGAGAGGAGGTCGGAGAGGTAGGGAGATGCCAGGGAGTGAATAGATTTGAACACTCAGAGTGAGTTGAGTGACAGTCTCAATATAGGTCTTCTTGCCAGAGATGATTATTGGTAGCCTTGGTTTCTGTGAAGTTTGTGCTCAGTGGGTTTCACTGAATGTTAACTGTGTTTCACAAGGAAAGGAGGCATTACTTTTCGGGTGTCTCTCGTATAACAGAACCACATTCAGTTGAAGCTGGTTGAGGTGTTCCCACCTAAGGGAATAAATGTGATATCAAATGGTATAAGCAGAATGATGATAGGATAGATACTTCAATAGAGTTTGCATGCAAAATAATTCTTAATTTTTTTTGAGGCGAATATTCTGCTCCATCCAGGAAATGGAATACACTTGTTGATGTACCGGACTGCTGCACTCCCTTCGCTTCTTCCTGTGCTTCAAGCAACTGTATTGAAAGGTTTTATTTATAATTTAATTTTATGTTTCTATAAGTATTCAAAGAGTAACAATATAATAAAAGAGTACTAGGAAGGAGTAAGAACCTGAGATTAGAGTAGTTAGCTCAAGGGTAAGAGCAAACACTAGAGTAGGCATGATAATAATAATAGTCCTTGCATTTGATAATAGCACCTTATCACATCTTTGAGTCATCTCAAAGCGCTTCACAGAATATACTGTAAAATGAATTGCCTGTATATTTTGTGTGCAAAACACAGCAGCCAATTATGCACAGCAGTGCCCCACAAACAGTTGTGGATTGAGTGACCAACTTATTATTATTATTAATTTTTTTTAAGGGATTTTCAGCACTCACGATTAAATTCGCTAAATTTAGTAAACTGAGCAGAATAACACAGTGCATAGTGATTAATCTGTAAGTTTTTACACACTGTTTTTGCATTTTTCTTTATGCAAAGTGTAATCAATGACTGGAACAGATTGACAGGAAAGGTGATTAAGGCGAGGACACTGGACTCATTTAAAAACTAGCTTGATACTGTGATCGGGGTGATGGTAAGGTGGATCTTCCAGAAGGATGAGATTGGATGAACCAAAGAACTTCTTCATCCAGATCAATCTTGTGATCTTGTAATGCGGAGCGTATTCGTTGCAGAGTGAATCAAACAGCTCTGTATGCTTCACAACTTGGACAAACCATCATCTGCTGTGATTATATTCCAGAATGTGAACCAGTTGTGATTGTTCTGAGGAAAAAAAATTAAAACTCCTGAAATAAACAGTACATTCCCTTGTGTTCACTACTTCAACTTGAATTTATTTGGCGCATATTTTGAACGTATTTAAAAATCCTCTTACTAAATATAAGAAACTAAATGCAAGCAATAATGTTCTCTCACAAGAGACAACAAAATGTTAAGACAAGTCGTATCCAATGTGCAATTAATGTACAGCATTTCTGAGCAAACAAAGCCAGTTGTAATAATGTAAACAACATGTTTAACTGAAGAATTGGCTGGTATGTCACCCTGTTCCATCAGCAAGACACTATATGTATTTCAGGTAATTGCTGCTAATTCACTGTGTTTACTTTTGTTTGCAGTTCATTAAACAATGGCACATTAATGATCACTCCCAAGGAACACCAAACTGGATTTGGTGCCTCCGTGAATGGCCCAAGTATATTACAACAGAAAACATTTTAAGTTAATTATTGCCTTAATATTTATGATTTATTTCTGCACAAACAGAATTACATGAGAAACATAACTGAGGAGGTTGGGCAATGTTTGCTTAAATTGGCATAGGCTTTGTGAAATAAAACCTTTTTTATAAATTCCTCACTGACACACAGAGCAATCGTGTTGAGAAATGTTCTGACGTTACTTGCACCTGATGCCACTGTGATTCTTTTTTTCAAGAAAAAGGTTTGCCAAACTTTTCTTCAATGAAGACAAACACTTTAATCTTTACTACATTCTTGCAGTCTTAACACTGATATTTTTGGACACAAACCCAGATAACTTTCTTTGTTTTTGTCCATTCTTTGCTCCTTTTAATAGATACTGGAGCTTCACAAAGGATTCAAGTCCATGAAATATATTACAATCATTACCAAACCTCGTTCCCCATAAAGGCTAAGTGTGGCATCACTGCAATGCTTTAGGCAATGTGAATCAAATGTTCTCAGCGTTAAGACAACTCTTTTGAATTAAAATATTTTTAAGAGAAATATTGTCTAAGTAATTCATGGAATTCTTGGTTTAAGACATTATTAGTTTAGATTTTGATTGTTGCTGCATGAAACCATCTGGTATACAGGCTGCTTAGATAATAAATACTGTGTATGGCATGTCATTATATTTCAAGTTATTTAATTGACTGCAGTAATTGTGTTTTAAAGGAATGTAATACCCTCTGGGGGGCATTTTTAGCATTATACTATATTGAGATGCTGGAGCACTCCCAAAATATTAAGAAACCCTTGAAATATCACACAAACCATGACTATTTAACTTTCATACACAGTAAATATAAGAAGTACTCGGGTACAAGTTAAAGGCAGTAATGCAATCTCTGGATTTATAAGACATTTGAAAAGCATTCAGCTTTATTCTTATGGTTCGGGAATCTAAGACTGTAGGAACAAGGAAGGCCTATTCATTTACCCCATGTTTCATTTAGATCCATGTATTGGACTACCAGACCATTTCATCTGCACACTACCTCACACACACAAACACACACACACACACACATACACACACCTTTTGAACCAAGCCAGGATCCCTCTCATCCTTGACAAATCAGGAATGACATTGTATGAAACACTCACCACTCAATTGAGTTACAGTCTTGTATTTCAATCCTGTGTATCAATCTTTCTCTATATTATATACAAAGACAAGATACTGATGAAACATAGTTGATTTAGATATGTGTATTCAAGCATTTATCACACCTTTATAAAAATGTGCAATCTTTACTTAATAAATGTATGGTTAATATCTCATGGTACTATTGAACAGCAATATAGAACATGAGAATGACTTGATATTCAAAAACAACTCTGAGATGTTATTAGCCCATGCTATCTTACAATACACCCATCTAGCCTGGCACAGCATTAGACAGTGGTGTGGAAGTTATACAGTACTGATAAGCAACCATCTACATTTTTAGAAGTACTTTTAAAAGTTCTTAAAACTCAGATATTGTTTATAGACTTGCTTTTAATTACACGGGGTGGAACTTGACTGCGAGTGGTACACAATCAATAAAAAAATTACATCCATTAATGACTAATATTGATTCCAAATTAAATTTTGTATAAGTGGGATATTAAATTTTACCCTTTGTGTGAATGCTTTAATGACAGATGTGTTAATGTAAGTGAGGATTACATCACAAATAATGGAGTTTAGGAGTTTATTTTAAGCATTTGCAAGCCGCAAAAAGATAAAGAAATATTGAATTCATGTCTACGTTGGACTGTGAACTTCTGCTCACTTTGTGATGATTGCTAACGTTTGTATCATTTACATTTATTTGACACAATTTTGACAACAACTAACAATATTTAGGCAAGGAAGGTAATGCTTGCTAAGGATATTTAGCCAATCGGGTGTTCTGACATGTAATGGTAAAACTACTGAAAGGAAAGCACATCAAAATGACTTCCATTGAACAACATTCACTTCCATTCAACTCTATTCGATTAGCAGTAAATAGAAGGTTTCATGTTTGTCATTGAAATTGTTGCATATTTCTCACTTAACTCAGCATCTGAGGGCTATCTTATCAAAGCAAAGCTTCTGAAATGGCCTCCTTTCCCCTCCACAGAGGTTCTTCTCATCTATGATCAAGAAGGCCTTTGAGGTCATTGCTTTTATGTCCTTCTATGTTTTCTATCGCCTCTCACTATGTCCCATTTACAAACAGTAACAGAGTTCCTTTTCTCCTCACCTTCCATCTCACCTACCTTACCCCATTTCCATCTACAGCAGGAACCCAGTGTGAGAAGCATCATCCCTCTGCTTTTATGAGAGATCAATTCATGTACAACATCTTTGTTCACTGCTCACATGCCACCTCTATTTTACCACTCCACCCCAGTTTTGTTTCGCTCTCCCTCTCTAGTTTTTTTTTAATTGATATCTCAACTACTCTTATGTTCCCCGAGATACTCTTTCTCGGCATCTCACAATCCACTAAAGACTCACCACCCAACTCATTGTGTATGTAGTCCTTTTTGACTTCTTCCTAATCCTACTTGCCTCCCTGCGCCTTAGACATGAACTCCCCCAGCTCACTGTTTCAGCTCTGGTGAATGGTCACAACCAAAAAGTTAATGCTATACTTCTCTATCAGATATTGTTTTTACTTGCTGTCATTTTCCAGCGTTTTCCTATAAATAGCATTACCTTGTTGCACACATGGCTATTTCTCTGCCTGAGCAAGTAGTGCACCTATAACTAAGAATAATGGTGAAGGCGTCTGCATTTTCTAACTGTCTCTTTCAGAGAAATGTTTTTAACATTTCAAAAGTATTGAAATGCTCCAATTTTGAATTCAGCTCAATCGAGTTTCTGTCACTCTCTTTTTGGTGTGTTGGGATTTTTGCATTCGTCCTTGTTTTTATTTACAGTGCAAGTAAAGTATAAACTTGCAAACCGCCTTATTGTAATAGGCAAATATGGAATGTTCTGAGGCTCTGGTTTCTGCACGATGACCACGTCAAAGTAAGTTTTCGATTTGGCACTTTTGTTTATGTAAAGTCAGTATCTCTTTGTTCTTTTTATTTTCTGTTCTTTTTCCATGTGCCGTTTCTTTCCTGAGTATCTTTGAGATGCTGTCTCTCTGTCTCTCTCTTCTTCTCTTTGTACATCACAAATGGCCATGCTCAGTGCTTTGATCACTGTCCTGACTTTCATCGTTTGACAGAATATCTCCAGGGTGATGGGCATCAGGTCCTGATATGGGGATGCCAGAGAGCTCAGAGGGCAGTAACGTCCCTTTCTTCACATTCACCAGTTCTTTTTCCCTTGCAACAGCTCCTTGTTGGCCACCTTTAACGCGTTTCCATTTCATCCTCCGGTTCTGGAACCAGACCTTGACCTGAAATAAGTTAAAGTTAGTTAGAATCATAGAATCAAAGCAACATAGAAAGTTTAATGATTAGAAGAAGGCCACTCAGTCCATTGTGTCTCTGCTGGTACGAGCTTCCTCACTGGAGCTATTTACTCTAATTTGATTCTTACTCTAACTCAAAGCCTTTAATATTGTGTTTCCTTAATCCTTGTATTTAGGATAGCGCTTTTTTTAAATCTATCTATCTGTCTGTCTGTCTGTCTGTCTGTCTGTCTGTCTGTCTGTCTGTCTGTCTGTCTGTCTGTCTGTCTGTCTGTCTGTCTGTCATAGTAGAAGGAAGTCTCAAAGCGCTTCACATAATATACTGTAAAGTGTGTTTTGTGGGTGAACCGGAGGCTATTTCCCACACAACAATTTCCCACAAACAGCCAAGAAATAAAAATAATGGATAACATAAGAATGATCAATTTTATTTGGGGGATTTGTTGGCCAGGACACAGGGAGAAACTCCCTTATTTTTTGATTAATGCCATGGGATCTTTAACATCCACCTGAACTGGTAGGCGCAACCTCAATTTAATGCCTCATTTGAGGGATGGCATCACTGACAATGCAACACAGCCCCAACTCTGAATTGGATTATCAATTTAGATGATGTGAGTTCAAGTCCTCAACTTCTACAACAACAACAACAATTTGGATTTATATACCACCCTCCACGCCGGATGGAGTCTCAGAGAACTTCACAATTGCGGATCCCAGGGCCGAGCCAGGGGGAGGGGGAAGAGGTGACCAAAGGCGCGGTCGAAAAGAAAGGTCTTCAGCCGAGACCTGAAAATAGGAAGAGAGGGGGTGAGGCAAAGGGAGTGAGGAAGGGAATTCCAGAGCCTTAGGGGGTAGTGGCTGAAAGTATGGCTGCCGATGGGGGAGCAGAGGATTCGGGGGACAAGGAGGAGGCCAGACCCGGTGCAGCAAAGGCAATGGGCACTGTTGTGAGGAGAGAGGAGGTCAGAGAAGTAGGGGAGGCAGAGGAGTGGAGGGATTTGAAGACAAGAGTGAGGATCTTGAAATCGAGATGTGGAGGATCTGACACAGAGGTGAGATTTCTACCACAGAGCCAAGTTTCCTTATGCAGTTTCTCTTTAAATATAGTCGTAGATATATTATATGTTATATTCACCATGGGAAAAAACAAGTCATTTAACATAATATTATATAGTAATATTCCTTGCCTTTGATATAGTGCCTTATTGCATCATCGAAACATTTCAAAACACTTGACTGGATTTACTTTAAAGTACCGTGATTATGTGCATTTGGAGGCAAGTTAAAGGGACAGTGTTCATAAAATGTGTTTTGTAATCAATTTTTCCTTTATTTTTCCAAAACTGGGCTGAGCATCCACTGTAGCCTGTTGTAACCATGCTAACGTATCACTATTGATGGGTGCATGTGATACGCAGCTTTCCCCCCACTTCTATTTCCTTTAAACAAAAAAAAGCAGCAAAGATTTGACGAGCATGTTCCCATTTTTTAAGGATATGGGTGACAACAAAATAATTCAAAAATATTTGAATAAAGGAATACAACTAATATATTAATAGAACTACTTACAATAAAACTACTTACAGTGCAACAGTATATGTAGTGCTTATCAGTAGTTATCTCCTCCTCTGGCATAATAAACATAGTTTCTCCTGGTGTCCTGGTCAACAATCCCCCACATAAAATTGATTATTCACTTTGTGGCTGTTCGTGAGACATTGCAGTAAGCAAATTGGCTGTCAAATACAAGGGCACCACACCTTATAGTAAAATCCTGTGAAGTTCTTTAAGACGTCTCAATGACAATCATAAGGAGCTGTGTTAAATACAAGGATTATTATTATTATTATCAATGCTAAACTTTTTTATTGACAGTAAATAACAATGCCATTTTTAATTTCTTAATTGGATTTTCTTAATTAGGTCTGCGACACAGAAACATGGAAACCACTTTGAGAAGCTTTGAAGCACTTTGAGACATCTCAAAGATGTGATAAGGTACTATATTAATTGCAAGGATTATTATTATTATTAAACCTTGCAATTCAATCTGTTTTCAGTGCAAAGTTCCCTTAAGTCGATATGATGTGAATGACTATACCTCCACTTGACAGAGGGATTCTGAATTCAGAATTTTTAGATACAACATTGTGGGACAAAATACAGTACAATCTACCCCTTAGTACCAAACCTCCAAAGATCCCTGTACAATGAGAAAAGTCCATGTTAAATAGATATTAAGTACTTACCACTGATACTAATTGTTTTTCTACTGTATACCTACTGGGTATTTACGAGAATAGTGTTTCTCTGGTGAGCATAACTTTTGCACAATAATAAAAATATTTTGTCAAGAAAGGCTGAATTTTATTTAACTAACATCATAGCTCTCTAGTTTCTATCCTGCAAGCTAAACATTTCTGATTTAAAATAATCTGACTGCTTGGCATTAACTGGCAAAGGTACTGAGCTAAACATCTGCAGCAGCCTTTTGCGTCAGTGATACTTCTGTCATTCAGAGAAAGCGCAATCCGTTCAAACTACTATTGGCTGATGACCCTTCCACCTGAAAATGGCACCCATCGAGATAAACATTTTGTTATTGGCAACTGCTAGATTACCTCAGTAAGTTACTACAATCACTCACATCAACACCCTCCCAATGGGCAGCAATGCAGTGCCCTCTTAAGGACACTAGAACAATTTTTCAATTGAATAAAATGCTGATAGGCTAGAGTTCAATGTCCAGGAACTCATAGGATTGAAAATAAGGAAAGAGGATGAGGTACTATAAAGAGAGATGGTAAGGTGACATCAAACTTGCAATAAACATATTTAGGCCTGATTAAAAAGGAAGCATCATGTTTAAAGTTAGGTTCAACACTTTTGCATAGTAAATGTCCTTTTAGGCTTAAATTATTACACAAGTTTAAATAATTGTTCTTGAGACAGTCAGTCTGTCAAGTAATTGAAAATGTATCCAAGGATTCTGGAACTCTGTGGATCTGCAGTAGAAATATACCGAAAAACTAGAAACTCCCCAAATGTGTTACAAAGCCCATTTACATTTTGTTTTGTTTAGATATTTGATATTCGATTCTGTGCAGTACTGGGGTTGTGCTGCATTGTCGGAGGTACCATCCTTGGGGTGAAACTTCAAACCGAGATCCAATCTTCTAGTTCAGGTAGAAGTTAAAGATCCCATGATTATTATTTGAAAAGAGTAGATTGTTATCCTGGTGTTCTGGATAACAATCTCCCAAATAAAAAAAGATACCATGGCTGTTTGTGGAACATTGCTGTGAGCAAATTAGCTTCTGCATTCGCTTATAAATACAATCGCTACACCTCACAATAAAATACTGTGCAGCACTCTCAAATGTCTCAATTATGTGATAAGGCTCTGTATCAAATAAAAGGATGATTCATTTTATAATTGTAATAATTTGTGAAAAAAAATTACTGAGGGAAAGTAGCATTAAATATGAAATTATTCTGCTAACGAAAGGTGATCAACCTGAAACGTTAACTCACTTTCCTCTCTCCATAGATCCTACCTGACCTGCAGAGTGTTCCCAGTGACTTCTGTTTTTATTTCAGATTTCCAGAATCTGCAGTACTTTGCCTTTTATAAAATCATTGTTGTTTGTCTTCCTTTTTTACTCCTTCAATTTTCCCTCCCTCATATTCATAAGATGTTTCACTCATTCTTTCTCTTCCACAGAAATCCAATTCTCTGACTTCCAATTGCACTTACAGTGGCTTTATTCACAGTGTGAGCTTTGACTCTCAGTAGGTTAGCAGGTTAAATTGTAGGGAAGGCTGATTCTTAACTCATCGTATCCACACATGTATGCACTTCCAGCAGGAGTTGGATAGTGATCAATAACATGAATTTTTGACTGTTTTTACCGCCTATAACCTTGGACATTGATGGTTGCAGCTCTAACGTCATATTGTCTGAGATCAGCTCACATGGATCAAGGCTCACACCTGGAACCTTCCCACATGTAAAGTATATGATTCAGCTATTCACTAATAAACAGAATGAGTTTATGAGCGCCTGACAACTAACGTTCACAGTTCAATGTTTAGTTTTCTGCAAATCAAGGGAATCTTTAATTTGGTGTACAACGTTATGGTGAAAATACACAAGATCTTAATCTACCTTTGTATGGAGTCCTGTAGCTCAGTGGTTAGAGCACTCGCTTTGCAAGCGAGAGACCTGAGTTCAATTCCAGGCAGGGCAAAACCTTGGGCAAGTTTCCTTACTCCTCACGCCTAATAATAATCCCTCCAAAAACCAAAAACAATAATAAAATTGGTAATTTTTCAATCTACGACTGTTTGTGGGACATTACTGTGCGCAATTGGCTGCCGCGTTTGCCCACAAATATACAGTCAATTCACTTTACAGTGTGTTTTGTGAAGCGCTTTGGGACGTCCTCCCGACGTGAAAAGCGCTATATCAAATGCAAGGATTATTATTATTATTGTATAATCAACCCTCACATTGATTATAATACATACTGGTAGTGACTGTGTATAATTCCACTCATTTCTGATTCATAGCAAGAAATACATTTTTGTAAATGCAGGAAATACAAGGATGTGTTAAACATTTTAAAAATATTCTGCAGATAGAACTATAGAATGCTGATATCATGCCCTCTTATCTGCATATCCCAACCAACAGAAAGAGTTTTTCATGATTAATTCTCTCAAACTCTATCAATATGTTAAACACCTAAATCACATCATCCTCAGCTTCCTCCACTCTGATGAGAATGGTCTCATTTGTCTATTGGCATTTACTGTACAAAGATTTCCAAAGAACGAACAGCGCAGAATTGACCACTCGACCCAAACAGTCCATTATGGTGTTTATACTCCACACGAGTCTTCAGCCACTCTTCCCTCCCACTCATGCCCTTCTATTCCCCTCTCCCTCAATGTGAAGGTATAGCTTCCTCATGAATGCA